ATCGATTACACTGTATCAGATGCATATATCTGATGCTTTTTATACGATGTAATCGATTACCAGAAGTGTGTAATCGATTACACTATGTCAACAGCCCAAAATTGCCATTTCTTGCCCAGGCGAGACAACTCTCGCTCAAGCGAGGCTTCCAGGACTGTTACTATAATCTTGAAAACTAAAATTCGGGGTGTTACAATCCTCCCCCTCTTAAAAGAATTTTCGTCCCCGAAAATCAACATACCTCAATTCAAACAAATGAGGGTAATCCTCCCTCATCTCTTGCTCAACTTCCCAAGTAGCGTCTCCTTCGTCCACTTGGCTCCACAACACCTTTACCAAGGCAATCTCCTTACCTCTCAATCTCTTTATACTGGTATCCATGATTCTCACAAGCAACGTCGCAAAAGTCAAATTATCCTTCAACTCTATCTGATCAGACTCAACCACATGAGATGGATCTCCAACATATTTCCTCAACTGAGACACATGAAATACATTATGGAGATTGGACAACAACGGAGGTAAAGCAATACGATACGCTACCGGCCCAATTCTCTTCAATATCTGATAAGGCCCAATAAATCGAGGAGTCAGCTTACGAGACTTCAACACTCTACCGATACCGGTAGTCGGGACAACTCTCATGAAAACATGATCTCCCTCGTTAAACTCAAGGGGTTTCCGCCTCTTATCATAATAGCTCTTCTGTCGACTTTGGGCGATTCTCATATTCTCCCGGATTTTCTTGATTTTGTCCGTTGTCTCCTGAACGACTTCGGGTCCCAATATCAAGTTCTCCCCAGTTTCAAACCAACTCAATGGAGTTCGGCACTTCCTACCATACAATGCCTCATAAGGTGCCATCCCAATACTCGAATGAAAGCTATTGTTGTAGGTAAATTCAATCAGAGGCAACAAGCCATCCCAACTCCCGGTTGTTCCAAGGCACAAGCCCTCAGGAGGTCCTCCAATGACTGTATTGTTCTTTCCGATTGACCGTCCGTTTGCGGATGATAAGCTGAACTCAACTTCAACTTAGTTCCCAATGCGGACTGTAAACTAGTCCAAAAGTTCGAAGTGAAACGGGGATCCCTATCCGATATAATGCTCGACGGTATCCCATGTAAACGGACTATTTCCCGGATGTACAGTTCCGCCAATCGCTCCAAGGAATACCTCATGTTCATAGGCAGAAAGTGAGCAGATTTAGTCAACCGATCCACGATCACCCATATCGAATCATACCCTTTTTGAGTCCGCGGAAAACCCGATACGAAGTCCATGGATATACTATCCCACTTCCAAACAGGAATTTCCAGGGATTGTAACTCTCCCGCTGGTCGTTGATGCTCAATCTTGGCTTTCTGACATACTAAACAACTTGAGACATACAAAGCCACATCCCTTTTTAATCCAGACCACCAAAACACCCCTTTCAAATCTTGGTACATCTTGGTAGTCCCTGGATGAAAACTCATCTTACTCTTATGGGACTCCTCTAAAATATCTCTCCGTAATTTCTCATCACGAGGCACACACACCCTCCCTTTGTAACGCAACATTCCACTAGGGTCCATGGTGAAATTGGTATCCTTACCACTTAGCATCAAATCCCGTTTATCCATTAGCTCAGTATCCTCAACTTGCATTACCCGGATTTGATCAAAAAACTCATTTGTGACTTTAAGCATTCCCAAAATCATACTATGAGGCTTTATCCGAACTTCCAAATTCATATCCCTAAATTCTTTAATCAGTTTCTCCTCTCGAACCATCAATGCCGACATATGTAAAGATTTCCGACTTAACGCATCGGCCACCACATTGGCCTTTCCCGGATGGTACTGCAGCCCGAAATCATAATCTTTAAGGAACTCCATCCACCGTCTCTGTCTTATGTTCAATTCCTTTTGATCAAATAGGTACTTCAAACTCTTGTGGTCGCTGTACACCTCAAATCTCACACCATAAAGATGGTGCCTCCAGATCTTTAAGGCAAAGACCACTACAGCTAATTCTAAGTCATGGGTAGGATAGTTCTGCTCGTGCGTCCTCAACTGTCGAGAAGCATAGGCAACAACCTTCCCTTCTTGCATCAACACACAACCCAAACCTTGCTTGGATGCATCACAATAAACACTGAAGTCCCGATCAGTACAAGGAAGAACCAAAACTGGTGCCGTAGTTAACCGTCGTTTTAACTCTTGGAAACTTTCTTCACATCGAAGTGTCCACACATACGGTTCCCCTTTCCTAGTGAGTTTTGTCAAAGGTAGAGCCAACTTCGAAAATCCCTCTATGAACTTCCGATAATACCCAGCCAAACCCAGAAAGCTCCTGATCTCAGTGACTGACTTGGGCACCGCCCATTCCATAACCGCTTCAACCTTTGAAGGGTCCACCGCCACTCCTTCCTTGGATATCACATGCCCAAGAAAGTTTACCGATTCTAACCAGAAATCACACTTTGACAGCTTTGCATACAACCGATTTTTACTCAGAAGCTCTAGCACAACCCTCAGGTGCTCAGCATGCTCCTCTCGGCTTTTGGAGTAAACCAAAATGTCATCAATAAATACCACTACAAATGAATCCAAATACGGATGAAAAATCCGATTCATGTAGTCGGTAAATATTGCTGGGGCATTTGTTACACCAAAAGGCATGACCAAATATTCAAAATGTCCATACCTTGTCCTAAAAGCAGTTTTAGGAATGTCTTTCGACTTCACCCGAAGTTGGTGGTAACCTGACCGAAGGTCAATTTTTGAAAATACTATCGCCCCTCTTAACTGATCCATCAAGTCATCGATCCGAGGCAACGGATACTTGTTCTTAATAGTGACCTTGTTCAATTGCCGGTAGTCGGTACACAACCGCATACTACCATCCTTTTACTTAACCAACAAAACAGGTGCACCCCATGGCGAGACGCTAGGACGAATGAACTTCTTCGCCAACAAGTCCTCAACCTGCTTTTTCAATTCAGCCAACTCTAACGGTGCCATCCTATAAGGAGCTATAGAGATGGGTCCCGTTCCAGGTACCAAATCAATAGAGAATTCAACTTCTCTTACTGGAGGCAATTCCGGAATCTCACCAGGGAATACCTCAGGAAACTCACGAACTATCGGAATATCTCCAATCTTGGGTTCCTCAATACCCTCCAGGGATGCCATTAACATAAACCGGCCCCTCCCCCTTTACAAGAAGTTCTGACTTCCTTTGCCGACATCGGCTTCATACAATCGACCTCCTCAGAAATCCCAACTGGATCTCCGAATACCACTGTCTTATCAGCACAATTAAGCATCACATGATTCGCCGACAACCAATCCATTCCCAGAATTAGATCTAACTGGGACAGTGGTAAGCAGATCAAATCCACGGTAAATGTCCTACCATTTACTACCACTGGACATCGAGACACTACTGTGGACACCACCACAGGCACATCAGTTGGAGTGGATATGACCAAGTCGAAAAGCAACGACTCAGTTTGCAATTTCAGCCTATCCACACAATCATTAGATACAAAGGAGTGTGTCGCTCCCGAATCAAACAACACTAAAAGAGAAATACCTGCCACCATGCAATTACCTTTAATCAGGCCATCAACACCTGATGCCTCTGCACCACTCATGGTGAACACCCTGCCAGTAGATCGAGGTCGCTCAGCTCTCACAGCATTCATACTCTGTGGAAATTTTGGACAATATCTCCTGACATGCCCAACTTCCTTGCAGCTAAAGCAGCTAAGTGTCGTACTAGGGCATGAGTCACCCACATGAATTCGGCCACATTTGCCGCACAAGGATGAAGAGTTCAACTGTGACCCTCCGGTATTACCATGAGTCCTCATCCCATGTGAAGTATTTCCCCGACTACTCGTTGGTGGAGAGTAAGGCTTTCGTTCCTCCTGAAACATTCTGCCCTTGCCCTTGCCATGTGAGAAGTTCCGTTGAGGGCCATAGTGTTTTGGAGGGTTATCTTTTCTAGCAGCAGCGTCCCTCCTCCTCACATTATCCTCATATATCCTACACTTGTTCACTAGTGTAGGGAAATCAGAAATTTCTTCGTGACCAAATGTCACCCGGAGTTCGGGCTTCAACCCCATCTCAAACTTCACACATTTGGACCTCCCATCCAACTCTAGTTCAGCATAAGGGCAATACCGGATCAATTCTTCAAATTTGGCCGAATACTCCCCCACCGACATGTTCCCTTGCTCCAATTGCAAGAATTCCCTCTCCTTTTCCCTTTTTAAGTCTGCAGGAAAATATTTCTGGAGGAATTTACTCTTGAAAGCTCCCCATGTGATGATTTGCCCTTCGACCTCCATTTGTCTCCGGGTCATCTCCCACCAGTTCTCAGCCTCCTTCACCAGCATATAGGTGGCGTAGGCCACCCTCTGAGCATCAGAACAGCTCATGGCCCTGAAGATTCTTTCCAATCCTTGGACCCATTCAATGGCCGCATCCGGAGCGAATCCGCCTGGAAACTGACTGGGGTTTCTCCTGCAGAATTCATCCAGACCTCTGTATTCAGCCGGCCCAGGTGGAACCAATGGTTGCGAACTCGGACTCGGCGTCGCGTTCTGGTTCAGGTGCTGTAAGTTCTCGTTCATGTTCATCAGCACTGCAGCAATCTGAGCCAATAAGTCATTCTGACCCGATCCTCTTCCTCTTCCAGACATCTCCGTAATGGGTACCTGTTTATCTCGATTCTCATGGGTTAGTAAACCAGGTTTTAACTAAACAAATCAACACATAACCACACAGCAGTTCACTTAAATCACATAGTCCAATCATTTAGAAGTTACAAAGAAGCAAGTAAGGCCATACCCTAGGCCGCAGGACTAACTATGCTCTGATACCATAATTGTAAGAACCCAAAATTCACCCCTTGAAAATTTTTCATTTCGTTAAACCCTAGCGTCTACCGTATACAACTAGGTATGGGTTTCCAAAATACCCATGGCTACATATATGCGGAATTGCAATCAATCGTATAAGTCATATATCCATAGTTACAAAATATTCCCAAAATAATTCAATAAGCACTCATATACAAAATAGTGCAAATAAAGAAATTCCAAAATATAAGCTCCCTAAGCTCCCCCAAAAATGAGTCCCCCTCATGTCACCTGTTTATCTGCAATGGGATTATCAATGACAAGAACACAAACACGCAAAGGAGTAAGTCGTTAATTCAATAAACGTCATTATAAGATAATCCACATTAGAAAAAGGGGTTAGTAAACCATTTTCGAAATTCATTTTATCTTGCTGCATAACTTGAGCCAAAGTCGCTATACCCCTTAGGATTAGCTAAAAGCAGAATCTCGTTTCTCTTAAAACAAATCACGCTTATATACTCAAGCCAGAGTTTACGCTTCTATACTCAAGCCAGAGTCGCTAACCATTCATGGTCGGCTAAAACATATTTTCCTTTCATCGATCTCTTCATAAATCATTTTCATGCTTCTATACTCAAGCCAGAGTGTATGCTTCTATACTCAAGCCAGAGTGTATGCTTCTATACTCAAGCCAGAGTGTATGCTTCTATACTCAAGCCAGAGTCTACGCTTCTATACTCAAGCCAGAGTCGCTAACCATTCGTGGTCGGCTAAAACATATTTTTCCTTTCATCGATCTCCTCATAAATCATTTTCATGCTTCTATACTCAAGCCAGAGTGTATGCTTCTATACTCAAGCCAGAGTGTATGCTTCTATACTTAAGCCAGAGTGTATGCTTCTATACTCAAGCCAGAGTGTATGCTTCTATACTCAAGCCAGAGTTGCTAACCATTCATGGTCGGCTAAAAATGTACTTCTTTTTCATTCGTTTCACCATAAATCATTTCCGGTAAATCCACGCCCACATTAGTATAAACACACCCATATATGTTTATACTAAATACGTGATTTACACTCAATCATCGCATAATCAGAAAGTACCACATACTTTCCTTTCCGTAAATCTACGCCTGCTTTAATGTAAACACACCCATGTATGTTTATATCAAATGCGTACTTTACGTATCAATCATTGCATAATCAGAAAACTCACATTTTCGATTCCAAATGCTCAATTAAAGACTTATCCTTACCTCAGTGAGTGTTGGGTTTGGTTCTTGACAACTTCTCAAGTTCCACCGCCACCGCCTCCAACTTTAGGATCTTTCCTCATCCCACCATATAACACAATGTTAGTCATTTATTCCAAATATCACATAAACAACTTATATTGCATTATTTAACCATACAAGATATTCATCATATTTTCAATGTTGCTAAACTATTTTCATCATAAGTTTACAACCATCTAAAACATACATATTCATCTCATATTTCAACATTAGAACGTAAACTCATTTTCTACCTTTAGCATTTTACCCATTTTCCACTTTAACCACATTATCCCTTTAGGGTTTTGGGGTTTTCATGAATCAACCCACAAACCTTTTCCATTCTCGAAATACTAACTCTAAACTAAGAATTTACAAGAGAAAAACACATAAAACGAACCATAACTCCAAAGGATGAGTTTCCATGGTTTCTCACATTTGGAGAAGAGATCCAACATACCCAAAATGAGTTTAAGAGAGTTAGAATCAAGAGTTTTACCTCTTCTCAAGCTCTTAGGTGAGTATCAAAACTCCTTGCCCTTGGAAAAGCTCTCTTCTCTCACCTCCCTTCAAAGTTTTAAACCTTAAAATGTGTTTGGGTTTCTGTTTTAAAGAGGTGTCGTCGGGTTGTAATCGATTACCAACATGGTGTAATCGATTACAACGTGAAAAATGCGCATATCTGATGCTTTTAATACGATGTAATCGATTACTAGGAGTGTGTAATCGATTACCATCAGTGTGTAATCGATTACCATCAGTGTGTAATCGATTACCATCAGTGTGTAATCGATTACCATCAGTGTGTAATCGATTACCATCAGTGTGTAATCGATTACACTGTATCAGATGCACATATCTGATGCTTTTTATACGATGTAATCGATTACCAGCAGTGTGTAATCGATTACACTATGTCAACAGCCCAAAATTGCCATTTCTCGCCCAGGCGAGACAACTCTCGCTCAAGCGAGGCTTCCAGGACTGTTACTATAATCTTGAAAACTAAAATTCGGGGTGTTACATCACTACTTTTCTACTGTAAATGTCTTTTGTTTTTTGCTGGAAATTGTCTTGGAATCTTTTCTGATTTTCTGACATATAAAAGTTGGATTTGAAATCAATTTTGTCTTCTTCTTCTTAGAATTCTGTTTAATCTTCAAAGTAAAAATGCACTATTGCCGTTACATATTTGAATTCGTCCCGTTGCGGCCACAATACTGTTTTGTTGCTGACCGCATCGGCAAAATTGTGTCCGCAATACATATTGCGGAACGCAATTTCAAACAATGAGGGGATCATTCTAGTAGAATTTATGAAGGATTAAGGAAATATGATCAACCAAGTGAGAGGCGTAAGCAATAAGGGATCCTAATATACATACTACCGGTCAATGAGTATAAATGCTGATCCACTTTCGATGAATTGTCACCTCTTTTGAGAAAACTATGTAAATTTGACTTTCTATTAAGTATACATAGAATCAAAATCTTAACCTCATCATACTAAACTAACATTTCTTTTAGGTCCTTGTTGAAGCATGATACAACACTAAATATTTATGCAGGATCAAAATAAATATTCAAATCTTGGTAAATAATCTTATCTAGCGTGATAACCAAAATTGTTATAGTCAATGAAATAGTAGAAACAATTTCCACCATAGATCTCATATATGATGTTAACGTGCTTCAAAATATATTTAAATAGTTATTAAGTAAAAGGTTAATAAGTAGTCCTTGGACGTTAGAGCAATCACAATTTCCTTATAGGTTATATGTGTGTTTGTTTTTGACGAAAAAAAGAAAGATTTTGAAGTTCTCTTACAAGTGTACTTATTATCATGATTTGAAATCTATAATTAGCTTCATTTCTCCTTGAAAGTGTAATTAGCAAACATATCCTTAAGACCATGGTTAAAGATTCAAAAAATAAAATTTTGCATGAGAAAATAACTTACTTTAATATACTAAAAATGATATAACATGTAAGTATCCATACATAGAACATCGAAAATGAACTATCTCCTATTCTCTTTATATAGAATTCCCATAAAAAAGTTCCACTTAGCCTTTCCAAAACAAACTTTCTTCTTATTGATTCAGGGCCATATTTATTATAGTAAATATCAAATGATTTTATTCTAAAACTTTAGTGTATATTATATTCTTTAATAATTCCTGTAAGATATTGGTAAGAAAACTCTCAAAATTTCACCTCTCAAAATTCCACGTCTCAAGTAAAACCTAGAAGGCAATGGAAAGTAGAATGTAATTGGAGTTGCGTTCCTACTCTTATGTAAGGGTAGGAAATAAATAGCAAAGTGATGTTTTACGGAGTTATAAGTTGAAGTTAGGAGTCCACTTTAAGGAGAATAGTAAACTTAATGTAGTACTTAAGCTATGAGCATTCCCACCTAATATACTAGTCTTTTGGGTTTAGATCTTATCATGTGTTTAAGTCCTAACAATTGGTGCTCTCATCGAGAGATGTGTCACGGAAAGGGCTACCTATAGGCTAGATTAAGGTACATTACCGAATATTGATAGGTGAGTGAATCCGCTAAAAGAGAAAGAGCTACCATCAGGTCAGTGTCGATAGAGTGAAAGCTGCCGTGGACGTCGATTCTTAAAGGGGACGCCAATGTTAGGAGTCCCACAGTGAGTAGAATAGAAAACTCAATGTGGTACTTAAGCCATGAGGCTCTCCCACCTAATGTGTTGGTTAACAAGGGCTCTAACTTCACCTAAAGGGGGTGAATATGTGGTTCAAGTAACAATTACAAACAATTCGAATACAAAAGATAATATAAAAAATACTAGTTTTAATCGACTAAATGGTTGCTTAATCAATTAATAGAAAGCTTGAGTTAATCGATTAACAGAAGGCTTAATCGATTAATCTTTTGGTTTTCCTGAAAATCTTTTTGTTCTTGATGCAGCAAGAAAGCAATGATTAATCTGGTCTAATATGCACGCAAACAGACTAATGAAAATTATTAATCACGCAGATTCACTAATGCAATGATCTTTATATGAATGTAATCAAATATAGCGATAATATGATAATTTCTTGTAAGTAAAAGTATTAGGAAAGAGAGAAGATAACACAACCAATTTATCCTGGCTCGATTCCCAATCCGCTGCAATTTACATTCTACTTTCCCCTTCTGATCTTGGGAGATTTTCTTTACTAAGAAGAAATAAAATGTTTATACAAACACTTCTTTCACCAAGAATTCTCTTGGACCTAGCTTCTGTGAAGAAGATCTTGCTCCTGACTTTGGCACGGTTTTGATGAAGACACCAATATCACAAAAAGAAGAAAGGAAGAACACTGACAAAGACTATCGAAAACAAAGCTTCAAGATTTAGAGTCTAAGTCTTTAGGTACTTCTATCCTTACAACTCGTTTATTTACTTAGTTAATAATGCTAAAAATTGTTTTCAAGAAAATAAGAAAAATCTAAGTGTGAATAAAAATGATTTTCAAAAACAACATGTAACGGGTTACCATACTTGAGTAACAAGTTACATGAGTGAGAAAATAGTTTTCAAACCTCTAACAGCTATGAGTAATCCATTAATGACTTTGGAGTAACAGATTACCATTTTTAGAAAACAGGGTAATCAATTACTCAAAGTAGTGTAATCGATTACACTAAGGCAAATTCACAAAGCTGTCAAACAGTGTTGTTGAGTAATCGATTACTCAAAACCAGTAATCGATTACACTGTGTGAATTTTCAAAAAGATGTTAACAGGATTGTTGGGTAATCGATTTCCCATTTGCAACAATTGATTACTGAGAGCTGTTGCATCAGTTTTTCAGATTTCAAGTGAAAGGGTTTCACTCCAAACTGACTGCTTTTCATTCCAAACGAAACCTACTCATGCCTAAGGGTATTATGGTTGATTGTAAGCCTATATAAAGGCATTGAAACACTCTCACAAGACACAACAACTTTTATAACAAAATCACACAAAGCTCTTACACTTTTCTGAATTTTCTGCACTTTTCAAAGCAACATACTCTCAAACTTCTAAGTATTTCTGAGTTGCTTCAAAGTGTTTTTCAAACATTTTCAAAGTTAAAAGAGCATTATTATATCAAGTATAAGAGTTGTTATTGGATTGCAAGTTCTAGAAATTGTCATATACACTTGTAAGGCAATCCAAGCCAAATTGTACATTCTTCACTTTTGCAAAGTTTATTTTCTTTCACAAGGGTGTGAAGAGAAAGGGTGAGTGACTTGATATAGTGTTTACCAAGGGTGTTACTTGGAATAGAGTTTTCCAAGGGGATTAGATATAAGTGAGTGTGTAAGGTACAAAGAGATCTCGGGGTGAGATAATTGTAATTGCAACTCATTATATTTAATAAAGGAATCTCTTGCGCGTCAAGAGTACTAGACGTAGCCTTCGGTGGACAAGAAGGTGAACCAGTATAAAACACCTGTGTACTCTCTTTTCCTTCTCTTTGTTAATTTTCTATCCTTCCTAGTCAATATTTTTCTGGATAACATTTCCGCTGCACATTAACTTTGATATTGTAGAAAAATTGGCCATACTTATTGCAACAACTAATTCACCCCCCCCCCCCCCCCCCCCCCCCCCCCCCCCCCTCTTAGTTGCAATCTCTTTCTTACAGCTTCCAATGGATCCACACCACTTATACCCAAAGAGACATCTTCTAGGACCTTGACCGCGGCCTAGGATTTCCTCCTCAATTTCTCACTTCCTCCAAGGTGATGCCTCACATCCCAAAGAGACAAATTTTCAAATCGACCGATTAAATGTGTATAAAGTTCCTTGCACCTATGATGTGCTAATCATACACTAAAATTCAGAATAAACTACCATTTGATGAATCTCACAATTTCATAGATGAATATGAATGATTATGAGAACAAAAGGAAAATATTTGAAAACACTCAACCTTTGAAATAAACTTCTCAAAGATTCACAAAACTCTCTCTTTTCACATGAAAGTTTCTACCACTTTTTTCAGAAAATCACTTTTGATATTTCATGTATCAATCTTGCATTAAGTTCATGTATATATTGGATTTGCCTATATGGGAAAGGATTGTAAAATAACATTAAGTTTCAAAACGATTTTCTGTTGAGGATAATTAATTAAGCAACTACTTAATCGATTAACGTTTCTTTAAAACGTCCAGGATTCCATAACATAAACTGATTTAATCGATTAATCATGTCCTTAATTGATTAATGAGTTTCCCATTTGAAAAGACATAATCTATTAACCAATATCGTAATCGATTAACAATTTTCTGAAAGTACTTAGTTATTTTTTCATGAACCTCTAACATGAATGGTTAATGCATGATTTTAAAAATGATATAAGTATTAATGCATCAAAATCATGTATGTATGTTAAATGCACCTAAATCATGTTATGTATCAAAATCTCATTTGCTAATATATTCATACTCTAATATGTGAGATTTATCATAAGGTTCACCCAACTTAGACTCTACCCTTTCAAAGCATCTTAATTAGGACCTAAAAT